CCTCCACAGCCATAAGGTGATAAATCTGTGCTGGTTTAAGCTATTAAGCTTCTGGAAATTTGTTACAGTGGTAATAGAAAAATAACATAGTGAGCAGTAATATAAGGGATTAAAGGTCTAGGATGGGGTGTGGGGAGGATTCTGACATTTACACCTAAAAAACAACCAGGTGCAGTGGGAAGGTGTTTTAAGGAAGACCTACCTGGCAGGGCTGTTAAGCAGACTGTTTGGAGTGAGGAGAGCATTGGAGTAGAGGAATCAATTAAATCTCTACCAGAAAAATAAGGAATAAAATCTAACAGGGCTTCAGTGTTAGTGGATGTAGGAATGGAAATGGGCAGAGATGGAAACATTACTTTGAAATTAGCTACAGGTTTGATGACTACATGTTGGGGAGAGTTAGCCGATGTGTGGACTGAATGTTTGCATCCCCTCAAAATCCATATGTTGAAACCCCATCTCCCAGAGTGATGGTATTGGGAGGTGGGGCCTTTGGGAGGTGATTAGTAGGATAAAATGAGGTCAGGAGAGTAAAGCCCTCATGAATGGGATTAGGGCACTTATAAGGGGCCCCAGAGTGCTTGCTTCTCTCTGCTCTCCACCCCATGAAGATAGTGGGAAGACAGCCATCTTCAAGCCATGAAGGCAATTCTCTCTCAGATACCTTGATCTTGAATGTCTTAGCCTCCAAAACTTGAGGAATATGCTGGTTGTTTAAGCCACCTGACCCATGGTAATTTGTTACAGCATCCCAGACTGACTAAGACAGTGGAGAATACCTCTGGGTTTGAAACTGATTGCCTGGAGAATGCTGAAACCCAGGGAAGTGGGCAGCACAGACATTAAATCACTTAATCCTGCCAGCACAGTAGGAGATAGAGTCTACATATTCCTCACCATTAAAAGGTTAGGAAAAAGAGGCACAAATAAGTAAAACAACAACAACAACAACAACAACAACAACAATAACAAAAATAATAATAAAAATTTCTCCAAGATACACACAGAACCCCCCAGAGGCAGAGTGAGAATTTATACTCAGGCATGCTGGCCCCAGGGACCCTGCTCATAACTACCAAATCAAATGGCCTGGCTTATGTGGATCTTTTTTTTCAACTGTGATATAACGGTACTGTGTCCAGTAACTTATAACTTCAAAATACCTCACTATAAGGGAATCATTAGTCACAGGCGTTACAAACCACAGAAAGCTAGACATACAAAAATAAACTGTTAGGGCAAGAAAACCACTAATGTTTCTAAACATCATATGTGCTGAGACTTTGCTGTAAAATGTTTATTTATAATTCTGCCTGGCTACAGAATAACTTCATAAATCTACATGTGGCTGGTTGCTCACATGTTGGACAGCATGGGCCTAGAGAACTGAAATGACTTGCCGATCCTCACACAGGAAGCTCATGGTGGAATCAGATCTACAATCTGGGACTTTTCCTTCTTATCCAGCAAGTCCTTCATGGAGGCTTAGAAGCTTCTCCCCTTTGGGGCTCAGCTGTCTATCCATGCTTATGACATCTTGTCAGGTGTCCCAGCCTACACCTGAACATCAGCCAGTACACACTTCTGGTCTTTTCTGACCATGTAATGTCTCTTAGCAATTTTGGTGGCATCAGTTCTTACCTGGAATGGTAGTGGCTAGAGATGTAAATGTGTCCACAAGAGCAGACTGACAGATTTTTCATAAACGTAGCAGGAGTGGTCAAGAAAAGAAAAAGTCAGGAATAAGAGCAGAAGCAAGTCATTTAATATACCAAATGAATACTTTCAATGTTTGTTTGTGTTACTGAGTCCAAACTCATTCTGCTCACTGCAGGACAGGCCAATAAATTGGAAGACCACATTTTGTGGCAAGAAATAGCGTCTTTAATTGGAAAACCAGCTGACTGAGGAGATGGCAGAGTAATTGTCCTGGAGAACCATCTTCCCCGTCACAATTTAGGCTCCTTTTATATTAAAAAGGGGAAGAGGGTGTGCTTGGTTATTGGAAACATCTTGGTGTGGGAATCCTTTGTTGTTAGAATCCTTTATTGTTGCAGCTGTCCACCTGGCTCAGATCCCTGTAAACCTCCAACAAAACAAATGTTATTTTCTGTTCTGTAACATGTTATCTTTATAAGAATGGAAAAGTGTTAATATCCTTAAAGGTCAAAGCCTTGAGAATAGGTTCTCCTGTGTATTTCAGGCTCTAGGCAACATTGTTTTATAAAAGATGCAGAACCAACAAGACTAAGCCTCGGAAACAGAGCACAGGGTTAATGTCAAAGAAAAAGATGTAATATGGAGTCAGATTTGTTCTTTCCTATTACAATAGTGCCATGGAGAAACCAGTTTGGGCAGCTTTTTGTGGGGCCCTGGAGGCTTTCTCTCTCTGCCTCTGGGCATCTCTGTTGAAAACCCTTCCTAGCTGTCTGGCCTGATGGAAACCCATTCCACCTGGTTTGCCCTAAAGATGTGTTCTGTTAATAACTCATTTATACTCCTTGGGAACAACTCAATAAAAACTCAATTGGTTTTCCACCAGCACCCCTGGGCAGGGCTCAGGGATAGCATGTTATTATTTTATAAAAAATATACATAATAAATGAAATCATAAAACAGCACTGGGTACATAGGAGAGAGTCAATAAATGCTTCCTGGCTTAAAACAAAAGTGATGGCTCAGTTTTCCATGGCTGTTGTACTTGCTGAGCTAGTTACTCCTTCCCTCCATTACACTTTTTTTTTAACTGAAAAAGAAACCCAAGCATATGTTAAAAAAAATTCAAACAGCACAAAAATACACAAGGGAAAGGTTTCCCTCATCCTTTGTTCTCTCAGCCCCCCCTGGAGATGCCACTGTTTACAATCTTTTGTGAGCTTTTCCAAATATTTTATGCACATTTCAACCTATGTATGTAAATTCCTTTAAAGTTTTACTTATTTTTATCCTAAAAGGATTTAAATCCTCAAGTGGCTTCTGCCTCAATAATAGCAAAGAACAAATCAGACTCTGTATTAGATCTGTTCGTTTGACTTTAACCCTGTGCTCTGTCTCCTAGGCTTCATCTTTCTTGTAAAACAATGTTGCCTAGAGCCTGAAATACACAGGAGAACCTATTCTCAAGGCTCTGACCTTTAAGGATATTAACGTTTTTCCATTCATATAAAGATAACAAGTTGCAGAATAGAAAATAACATTTGTTTTGTTGGAGGTTTACAGGGATCTGACTCAGGTGGATAGCTGCAAGAACAAAGAATTCTAAAAACAAAAAATTCCTACACCAAGAAGTTTGCAACAACCAAGCAAGTAGGAAAGGATCCTGAATTCTGACTTGGGGAGATGGCTTTTCAGGACATTAGTTTGCCATCTAGGTCTACAGAAACTTGCTATTCCATGCCCCAACACCTGCTCTTCTGATTTATTGGCCTGTCCTGCATTGAGGAGAATGAGTTTGGACTCGAGAACACTCCTATCTACATAGCAAGCTGGGCACTGGAACTGAGGACAGCTCTACCACACCCAGGGACCTACTGTGAGCCCTTCATTGTTCCACTAGGGTGGAAAGTGGTTTACCCAGGAGAGATGGGGACTATGCGCCGACACTGGGGCAGTCTGCTCTGTCTGGGTCTCTGAACTTGTACCTCCCGCTCCCTGCCAGCCCAACAGCTGGGACAGTGCAGCTAAGGCAAAGATCATGCCTGCCTCAGTTTCCCAGCCTGTAAATGGGGAATATATACTCTTCCCAACGTAGTTCTAAGCAACAAAGCCTGTCAGTGTTTAGTTCCAGGAGCAACAGGAAGCCCAGCTCCTCTTGGGGGCAACAGATGTGATCCGCATAGGGGTTCTGCAGGGCCTTGGCTGGAGGGCTTAACCAGGGAGGTGAAATTTGAGCTTCTGGCCTTGAGGGGCTAGAGAAGTGCATGGAGGCAGGACTGGCGCCTCCTTCGGGGTGCCCTTGAAGGTAAAGCTTTTTCTCTTCATCTCTGCTACTCCCCTCCCCCTTCTCCCTCTAGATCTCTCGCTTCTCCTTGCTCCTGCTCCGTCCATCTCTCTCCCTCCACTTTCCCCTTCCTCTCCTCCTCCCATCTTCTCCCCCTCCCATCTTCTCCCTCCCTCGATTCCCCTGTGTATCTCCCAGAACCCAGAGCCCAGAGCGGATCGCTGGCCTTCCCGCGCATGCCCACGGTTGGATGCCAGCTGGACCGCGGGTCCGAAGCTCCAGCTCCGAGCCAGGGATCAGCCCCAGTGGTTGCTCAGCTCTGTTGCCCGGTAGGTCTTTGGCTCCTGCTCCGGGTCAGGGCCTCCGGCTGTGTAAGTGGAAGGTTGAGGGCTCTGGGGAAGGGGGTCCGCGTGTCACAGCCTGCGAAGGCTCGAGTCAGTGAGTGTCCAGCTGAGGGGCTCGCGCCAGCCCCCTCTGCCTGCGCCACCTGCCCCGGCTTCCAGGCCACACCTGTCCAGGGCCGGGCAAGCACCTTCCGGGGACATGGCCACCCCCGTCCATACCGCGGCCCGCACCTGCCACCTCTCGCCCCAGCCGGGCTCCCCTCAGTCCACGGGCCGCGCCCCCTTCCGCTCTCCTGACGCGAGTCCCCTCCTCCCAGGCTTCCTCTCCTCGGCCGCAGACCCCGCCCCGCCCCTGGGCGGGCTGTGTCCCAGACCAGCGGGGTCTGCGGAGCCGGGCGGGTGCAGGGGCTGGGACTGGCCCCCCACGCCCCCTACCGCTTTCCCTGCCCTGCCACCTCTAGACTTCACTCCTCTCCCTTTCCCTGTCCCCGAGATCCAGCTCAGTGGCATGGACACTGTTCCCTGTGGCTGAGATCCTCTGGCTGTAAAGCCCAGCTTCTCCTGGCAGAGACTTGGGAAAAGCGAGCGCCAATGCTGAGAATGCTTCTTTCTCCCCCCTCAGTGTTTCTGCCCCAGGTAAATGCCCTTAATGCTTTTTCTGGTGTTAGGATGGTGGTGCTTGTTGATGTCTTGTGTTTTTATAGTGAGCGTGATCATTGTTGAAAGCAGGGCTTGGTTCACTTAAAAATGAGCTGAGGAGTAGGGACAGGGCTATACTTAATATGTTTGAGTTGTTCTGCAGGAGCTAAGGCCCCCACCCAGGTGGAGGATAGTAACTTCAGGCTGAGCACGAGATTCCTGGAACACGGCCCTATTACCTACCACCAACTAGTCAGAAGAAAGTCACACACCTGGAAGCCGTCAAGCCTCATTTTGCCAATTAAAAACTTTACCTAATAAAAAAAAAGAAAAAAATCACCTCAAAAACCATCAAAGAGTTCAGGATTTTTGGGCACGAGCCACTGTTTTCCTTGTTTGGCCCTGCAGTAAAAACTTTCTCTACTCCAAAAACGAAAACAAAAAAAGAGATGAGGGCATGAGGCTGTGACATTCTCCATCCTCCCCTCTCCCAGGGTGAAACATGTGACAGTTGATTTTAAAAAAATATAGTCCTTAACTAGTCCAGCCCAACTAGTGTGTGTTAACAGGAGCAGAACATCAGAGGCATTTTGGAGACCCAGGAACATTGCAGTCCTAAAGGTCTCCTGGCAAATTTTTGTTTTGTTTTGTTTTTTTGTTTTTCTTAAATTGTGGGGCAGACTAGTAATATAGAGGGGAAAAATAGTGACACAGAAATATTTTTTCGTAGAACAGCTTTATTGAGATATTGTTCACACATTGTGAATTCCACTCATTTAAATGGTACAATTCAGTGGCTTTTAGTATATTCCCAGTGGTGCAACCATTATTATTCCACAACGTTTTCATCACTTCAGAAAGAACAGTGGAAATGAATGATCTATCCACCCCTTCCCAGTGGTGGTTCTAAAGAAGTTCCCTGGTTGTTCCAGGGATTAATTTGCTACATTCCATAAAAAATCTGGTAGGAATTTAATCAGAATTGCATTGAATCTATATATCAGAAAAGGAAGAATTAATGTCTTTATGGTATAAACTTTTTCTACCCATAAATGTATCTGGGACCCTATCTTTTCATCTGTCCAGAGCCTGGCCTATGGAAAGTCTTCACTAATTTGTTGGGTCTGTGAATAATGAGATTATATATATCATTGGTTGCAACTGTAGCTTTTCACAAAAGAGAAAAGTAACCTCAGTGAAGCCAAGTGACTCTGTGATGGTCAGAAGGAGTGACAGCCATTGCTGGAGTGATTGAATGGACTTGGTGCTTGCAACCAGTGTTTTCCACCACCTACAGCTAAAAGGATTACAGTGTTCTTTTATTTATTTATTTATTTATTTATTTATTTATTTATTTATTTATTTTTAAAATTCTTATTATTTATTCAAGTGTAATCAGTTTACAATATTAGTTTCAGGTGTACAGCAGAGATTCAGTTATATATATGCATATGTACATGTATATTTTTCAGATTGTTTTCAGTACAACTCATTACAAGAAATTGAATACAGTTCCTTGTGCTATTCAGTAGGTCCTTGTCATTTATATATTTTATATATAGTAATGTGTATCTGATCACACTAAGCTCCTAAACTGTCCCTCCCTCTTTCCCACTTGCTAACCACAGTTTGCTATGTCCGTGAGTATTTCTAGCAGCATCCTTTTGGCTAGTAATATATGCTGGTTGGCTGCCTTCATTTTCAGTAATTCCATCTTATCTGTGGGCATTTTTCTTCTGGTGGGCCTGCATGTGCTTTGCACACGTGTTCATAAAGATCTGTATTTGGGAGGACTCCAGGCCTCGTGTAGTGCCTGGCACGGAGCTCCCGCTGAGCTCATGCTTGAACTGGGAAAAACCATATAAAAGTTGAAATTTCCACTGTGGTTGAGACTTCCAGGTTTCTATAACCTGTTTAGCCCACCTTAATATTGGCGTCTCCCATACTGGATAATTTGGTGGAACTTCATGGAACAACGGTGAAGAGAGAGGGCTTCTATGCTTCTTCTCTTTCCGTTTTCTTACACTCATTCTCCTGGGCCTCCCACATCCTTCCCTGGCAGTGCCCAGGGCTGGCTTGGTGCTGCGGTGAGGCAAGATTTGTAAATAAGGCCATTTCCTCATCTCTTCCGAGCTTCCGTTTTCTTCTCTGCACAATGAGGGCTTAGACTAGATAAGTGCTTTTTGGTTTCTTTTAAACCCTTGTCTCCTTTTGAGAAACAGAGAACTCAAATCTCTGCTCCAACCCTAATTCTTCAGATTTTGATACATCCTCCAAGGGGTGACACAGCTCTTTGTGGAAAGTTAATGTGACTTTGATTCTTTCCAGGTAGCACAGAAAAGACTTAAGAGATTTATTGCAGGGAGGGGGCAGGAAGGGGCAGTATGTCACACTTTCTAGTGTGAGAACTGGAGCAGGGTCTTGGATTTAAATACAGCCTGTGACGTTGTCTCTCTCTAATCTTGCACAATGTGATAAACCTCTCTTTTCCTCCGTTTCTTCATGTGTCAAGTTGGAGTGATATTATTTTAGGTTTTCATGAAACAATATACACATAAGCCAATTGTTTCTCAGTAGAAACCTGACCTGTTAGAGAATCAGGGGTTTCTTTGAAAAAAAAAATCTTGTCCATAGCACTCGGTCTATGTGTAATTTGTATTTCCTGGAATGTGTGGGTTGAGACTAAGTTCCATCATGGGACAGGCGGCCCCTGGGTCTGGCGGCCCCAGTTTCCTCCTCCTCCCCAGTTCTCTTCCTCTCAGTCCAGGATGAAGTTCCTGCCATTAGAATTACGCAGACTTCTTGTGGATATGGCTTTTAATTTTATTGTTTCACTGGGGAGGGCTGCTGTCGTATTTTCTGTGGTCAGGTTTTGGTGACCTGAAGGCTATGCAATCGGGTATTCCTATTTAAGTATAAGAAAAGAAAGTTACAAATACAAAATTAGACCTAGAGTGGAGGCACGGGCTCTTGGAAGTGGGGACCATTAGCTTTGTTAGCTTCAGGTGCAGTGGCCTCTAGCCATGAGGAACCATCCTTGTGCTCTTGAGTTGGAGGGACCAGTGGGCTCGGTGGGAATGTTTACTGAGTGTATCTCATGGACTGTGCATTGTCCTATTTGTACTGTGTGTTCCTTATTTAAGACAGTGAGCTCATTTAATCTCAATAGCGTCTTTAATAAAATTGGGCTTTTTATTTTGAGATGTAAAGTTGATTTCCATGCAGTTGTAAGAGATAATATGGAGAGAGCCTACGGACTCTTTGCCCAATTTTCTTTCATGATTCCATCTTGGAAAATTGTAGTACAATTTGTTATTGACTCACTAACCCTTTGAGATTTGTGTTATTACTCCCATTTCTATTCGTGAATAAACTGGGGTTTAGAGAAGCACACAGGCCTGCCCAGGTCACCCACATGGTTAGTATACAGTCGGGTGGAACGTGGGCTAAGGATTTCCAGGTAGTACCATTGTGATGGTCTGTGGCAGGGGCAGCATTCACTTGCGTGTTTATTCATTCATTCAACAAACATTTATTGAGTAACCTCTGTGGGAAAGATGCTTTCATATGGTTATCTAATTCTTCAGCAGTACTGAGAATCAGGTAATGCTTTCTTTTTTTTAATCTGAGAAATTTAGCTCTGAGAGGTTATAACCCCCCACAAAGGAAATATAGCTCATAAAGGAGGGATAGTAAATGTGTACAGTCCCCTATTTTTATGCAAATTGTACCCTAGGCATTTTACATTTGCAAATTTCCATAATCCAGATATATTCTTGTAAGGC